TATTTTCTACCAAAAATTGTATTAGCATATATAAAATTGTACGCAGGAATTTCATTGTGATGTTTCTGCACATGTGTATAATGTACTTTGATTGGATTCACCCTCTCTGTTTTTCTTTCTCATTCCTTATGAGAAAGTATTATAATATTGTCATTGATCTTGGTTTCATGGCAATGTCTTATAAAATAATTGTGGAGCACTTTTTTCTCCTATTAGCTAAGAATTATTTTAAATAATTTTTGAAGTATTTACAAATAAAACTGTTTGGAGTTTCTATTGCAGTAAGGTTTTAAATTATGCCTTCAATTTTTTGAAGCTCAAACTACTTCTAAAATTTGTGGTGTCTTAGATATATTTCTTTTATCATCTTCAGAAACTTTCTCAGTCATTTGTTTTTTCAGAAACTGCTTCTAGTTTATTCTCCCTTCTTGAGCTTTGATACTTCAGTGACACAAGTGTCCAAACTTCTTACAGTATGAACTATATCTCATTTGCTCTAGTAGGATTTTTTTCTTTCCAGTTACAGATTGGTGATTTTCTTTTAACCTGCATTTCAGGTTTCAATCCTCTTTTTAGTTGTATCTATACATTCACTGACGTTTTGTATTTTTAGTTCAAGAATTTCTCCTTGTTTTTTATCATAATTTTCTGTTTACTGTTAATATCCTAATGGCTCATGGAGGTACTCACTGAAGTTGTTTTTAAGCCTGAATTTGATAGACAGATAAGGTTTTTCTCCTGACTCTTTTCTTTTTCCCATGTTTGTTTCTATGGTCTTGTCTCCCAAGATGCTATTGTCATATAAAAAAATAGGTATTTTGAGAAACTTCATGTTGTTATATCCACAGAGGGATATTTATTTTACTTACTTCCTTTATCATAAAGGAAGGTCACTTCTATCCAGTGAGAGAGTTAGTTGATTTGAAATGAGACCAGTGTTATAGAAGGTTGTGTTCTTTCCATTTTACCTTCCCCATTAGGGAGTACCTAACACTAAGGTGATCCAACTGGACACCCAGATGTTTTACAACCCCTTTATTCCCTTGTGGGTTTTGAACTACCCACAGTTTTTTTTTCTCAAGAAATTATAATGTCTGAAAATAGTGTTCAGTTTCTGAGCCTTTCAGCCACACAATTTTTGTTCTGTTTCTAAACTTTTTAAGTGCTCTTTGCCAGTTGGCAAAGGTCACAAGAGGGAAAGCGTCGAGTCAATGTGTGGCTTACTTCTCTATTCATTTTTCTCTTTGAAGTCCTAATGCTGCACGTATCCATGATGCTTCAGTGACACTGAAGCATTTCTCTAGGGCCTTCAAAAGGTGGTTTTAAAAAAATATTTTGTTTTTCTTGGCTGTATTTGAAAGAGATTGTTGGGCAAAGTGCTAGTCAGCCATTGACAAAAGGGGTACCTCTGTGTGTAATATTAACAAGTGTCTCTGCATTTCAAATATGAATTCTAGTAAGAAGTAAGTAGAGCAAAACAGAATAAAGACAAAGATAGAGACAAGAATATAGCTGGCAAAAAATCATGATCTGTCATGTGAACTGGAAGTTGGTGAGGCATCATTGAAATAACCTATTTTTATTTAACATCTGTTAGCACAAGTGAAGAATAATTTTTGCTTGTTTGGTAGTTGATGGACCTTGAAAGAAGCACTCGGTTTAGTCTTTTTTTGTCTCGTTTTATTACCTGAAAACTTTCCTACAGATTTAGTTTTAGTTTTTTATTCATTTCTATGAGGCTTACTATTTTAGGCTAAAATTAATTTGACAACATATCCATTTATCTGTTTCCCTTTTGCTGAATTTTAAACTCCATTTGAGTCTTGAATTGTGCTCAGTTGTATACAGAATCATGGATAGGTTTTATGATCATTATTTTTTTTCTACTTATGTTTCTACTCTGGATGTTGCATATTGTTATTTTGGATAAAGTGCTAAAGATTTGGAAACAGATCCACCTTTTCATGTGTTATGACTATATGAATACTACCCACACATTTTATTAGTCAATAATAATGTAGGACAACACTCCAATAAAACTAAGCTCACAGTATGGCAGGCACTCATGGCATGTGACTGTCAAACTCTTGAAATGGGCTTAATATTATTGAGAAACTGGCATTTTAAATTTACTAACTTTTAACTAAAGTTTAAATAGCCACATGTGGCCTATGGCTACACATTAGACAGTGCATATTTAAAACACATTAACTAAGGTAAATTTACCCACCTGATAGTTCAAATTACTTTGAAAAATGGCTAATTTTAACTTTTTAAAAACAAATCTGTAGTTGGAGGCATGAGTCAAGGGGAGAAGCACCTGCCTAACAAGTATGAAACCCCGAGTTCAAATCTCAGCACCACCAAAAATAAGTAAATAAAAATGAAATTTTAAAACCAAATATATTTTAAAATCATTCAATGTGGGACATCTTCCCTTTACATTGTTAATAAAATAATTTAAGGTCATGAGAAATTTAACTGTTGAAAATATTACTAGTCTTCTACAAATCACTAAACTTCTTTTAGAAAATAAGAAGACAATTCATAAGGTAACTAAATTATAGCTTTATGATAGATTTTTTTTCTTTCAGTTATCATCATGGTTCCATGATCATGGTACTCATCCATAATGTGTACCCTCAAGAAAACAAACAGAACAAATGCTGAGGAAGATGTGTGGGAAAAGGTACCCCAAATATTGTTGGTAGGAATGTAAACTGTTCCAATCACTGTGGAAATCAGGATGGAAGTTCTTTAAAAAGCTAAAAATAGACCTACCTTATAACCCCTACATACCACAATTGGACATTTATCTGAAGGAACAATTCAATATACAAGAGAGATACCTGCACACCCATTTATATTTCAGCTTGGCAATAGTCAAGGTTTGGAAGTACCCTACATACCTAAAAACTGATGAATGAATAAAGAAATATGGTTTATATACACAATGGAGTGTTATCCAACCATTAAAAAAATGAAATTATACTTTTTGGAGGAAAATGGAAGGAACCAGTGAGCATCCTGCTGAATGAGATAAGCCAAGCTCAAACATCATATGTTTTGCTTATATGTGCAATGTAGGCCTATAATAAAAATAACAGCAAGAACAATGATAAGAATAATAGAACATGAACATAAAGAAAAGACTGTCATAGGGGAAATCAGCTGGAGTGGGGAGGGGGAAAGAAAGGATAGGGTACTAGAGAGTGAGAAGAATCAAAATATGGTTTATATATATTATATACATGCATATATACATATGAAAATAGCATAATGAAACCACTAAATACTGTTTGAAAAAGGGAGGGGGGGTGAAAGAAAGGAGGGGCTAAGAGAGTATAATAGATGAATGAATTTCTTCAAAGAGCAGTGTATGCATCTATGGAAATATGAAAATGAAATCCCTTGTACAATTAATGTATGGTAGTAAAAAGATTTTTAATTTAAAATTGATCTCCTTCAGAACAACATCCTGTTTTTCTGACTCCACTTTCAACAACCTTTTAAATCTTCAGGATGTCCATTCTTCTGATATTTCTTTTCCATTCTGGTTATTCCCACTTGCATTTTCACTGCTCTTGCCTTGTCTAGATTCCCCAGTTACCCTTTCCAGCACTGAGTTGCCATCTTTTCTCTTCAGTATCACATCCAGCCTTTGCTATCCCTGCCTAGTGTCCCAGGTTACTGACTGAGTCCATGAAAACCAAATGGCTGCTCTTGAGCCCTTTTGTTTTTAGTTCACAAAACTAAAATTTCTTTAAATAGCCATTCCAGAACCTTTCTCTTATCACATCACTTTTGCTGTGTGAATTTCTACACTCTTAAAAGTCAGTATGATGCCTCTTTAATTAGAAAAATGAGTCAAACTAGTGTAAGTTTTGCCAACTCCCCACCTCTGTACTTCATTATTCTGAGCATTTACAAACTTTTAAATACCTAAAAATTCATGTATCTTGATTGGTATCAGAGTCTCCAAAATGAGTGTTCAGAATTTGGTGTGCAAAATAGACAAGAAGCAAATAATTATTGAATGAGACATGTGCTTATAACAGGAACCAACTGTTTTTGGAGCACAGAGGTAGGGATAGTTGAATCTCTGTGAATGTTCCTTAAATAATATGCTAAATTAAGAGAATAGTAAGGTATCTTCAGCGGCAGAGTACATCATTCAAAATAAGCAGGCAGATTTCTCTTTGTCGAATTTTTTTTTACTTTGATGATAATGAATTAACTCTTTATTTACACACTCTTTCTCTTACCAGACACGCTATGGGAGTATTGAAAGTGGGAAAAGTTAGTCATTCTTTTAATGAACCAGTAACAGAGTTAGGCCAATTCTATTTTTCTATTTTATTCTTTCCTTACTAGGTCATGGTACTAATTCTTTTTCATCCTTTAGTAATCTTGTGCTTTTTTTGATAAGAGCTTTTTTTGACCCAGAAGGCAACAATAGCATTTATTTTTGCATCTATAAGCCATTTTTTACTTATATGTCCTCAGAATAGGAGAAATATGTTCTTGAAATGAGAATCTTTCATAGAGGAACTCATGATAAGGATAAGTACTTCATATTCATGAGTGTATTTGTGGCCTTAGTTGATACTTACGAGTATATTTCTGGGCATATCCTTATGGAGAATACAGCAATCAAACTTGGAGCTAAAATTAGCATGGTTAATGTCAAGGAGGAAAAGGTTTGTCATGTTTGATTATGAGGGGAATATGACAGATACACTACAAAGAGCAGCTCAACTGCTATTCTCAAAACAGAATCTGTAGCTATGAATTTTGCTTTTGAAACACCTCATTCTAACACTGTGATGTTTATTTGGTTACATTTGGTCCCAAGCAAGTAATATCGCTCAATGTTCTTGCATTATGATATACTGGAAATATGGCCATTTTTATATGCTCCACTGAGGTGATTAAATGAGTAAATTATTTAGCTTTACTTTCAAGAATTAATTTCAGGTCACTGTCTCACTTGTGTTCAGGTTCAAAACATTATTTGTGGCTGGAGAAAGATGTGATGTGGAGACTCTGGAATGGTCCAAAAAGGTCTTCAGAGTACCTGTCCTAGACCATTGGTGGCAAACTGGTAAGCATTTTCCAAGCATGTACATGGATGTTGAAATGGTCGAAATATCTGCAAGGATTGGAGAGAATTGTAAGCTATAACCATTAGGCACCAACTCAGGATTGAGGTAGTTCTGATTTCAGTAGAAATAAGTGATTTTTTGATTGTCATATTGCTAACACTGTCTTCATTAGTGACACTAGGACCAACATTCTCTTGGTGCATACATAAAAAGCACTACAGATCTCTTCATTGTCTTTTCTTTGTTTCCTGTATCCAGTGAGTTACCAAGTCTCACTTTTTCCCTTGAAGTATCTATGGGATTCACCCCACCTCAGCATTCCCATTGCTATTGAGCTGTGGGAGCATGTTTTCCTTGCCTCTGATGTAAACTATCCTCAGCACTCATCTCTGTGCTCCTGCTTCCTTGTCCGCCCTGCACACTGCTCCGACAGTGCTCCGTGAAAACACCACCCCTGTCATAGGCGTCTCTGGCAACCTTCTTGTGTCTTATAAAATTTAATTCCTTCAATTATCCTTCAAGATACAGAAATTTATTTTTTTCTCCAAGATAATAAATATAATTGTATATTATTTATTTACTGATTTTGTTTGTTAGTTTTCCTCACACTAAGTGATCTTTGGGAAGTAAATCTTCATATTAAGTAGAGAGAACAATAAACTTGGAACAAACAGGAAAAACAAACTAATAAACAAACCTCTTTTCTGCTTTTCCTTCTGAGGGATGATTTATACATATGTGAGAGTGACAGGTGACCTGGAGTCTACTTTTTTCCGTAATGAGTTTGGGATTTTTTTCCACTTCACCCAATGAAAGTAGCCATTAGCTGTGGGAGGCCTGCTAGCCTTTACTTGCACATATTTCAATTTAGTTCCAATTGGTTTAATAAGTTAAGCCAACCCTTTGATATTGATGCTGCCAGCACTCCCATTTTCTAAGTATCTCATGCAGAATACCAATTTTGAATTAAAATTAATAAATTTTTCTTTGCAAAAATTAGCTTTATTTTAAAAATGATAATAGTCTAGAATATCAAGTAGATTATTAATGCTGAAGTTTGGTGTTTTACAGTTTAGATTTTTGATTCTGAAAAATTATACCTTTTTCTATTATCTTTTTGGGCATTGCTCTTTGGAAAAATGAGTTTTCTATGTTCTTTATAATAAGAAATATAAAATGATCAGAGCAGAATATACTTTCTTTACATGAATGAAAATTAGAGAGATGGTTTCTGTTCTCTCTAATTGTATTTACTAAAGGGAAATTACTTATCTAAGTTCATATTTGTAACTGTTTAGGAAATTTAAAAGATAAAACAGCATTGGGAGAAAAATCAGCACCAGTTATTGAAGTGCAAAAAAAATAAAAGAGTTATTGTCTCTACAATAAAGAGTGTTTCTAGTATTATTATATGCCCTATTAGTCAAGAAACTTAGCTGTTAATTTACTGGTGATGAACTGGAAATATCTTGTCTCCTTTAAGGTGGTTTTTCTAATTTGGTCAAAATGGAAGGGTTTTTTTCTCACACACAAATAATGTTACATAAACGCTTACATAAGAGTTTTGTATTTCCTCTTAAATGTGACTAAGCTTGCTTGTTCAAGGAAACAAACACATTCAAAAGTAAAATTAGGATCTTTCTTATAGATATTTTGTATGTAAATGTCTGTTTAGATGTGAGTAGTTAGTGTATTTAGGGTTATAGAAAAGTACCCTGTCTGTCCTCTATGAAACAAGTACATGAGGTCTCTGGTACCTAATGAATTTCATGTGGATTTGCAACTTTTCTTTGATGTATTGTTCAGAGCAAAATAATACCACCATTATGTCAGTACATTGTTGTTTATTTTTTTTAAAAATCTTTATGTTCCTTTATTGGAGCAAGATCCTGATCGTATGTAGTTGTAGTGATGTATTTACTAGTAAACAGAGAGCTGTGCAGAAATTACATACTGTCCATCTAAACAGGTTTTGGTTAGTACATTGTTGTTGTAAACAGATTGGAATTGTTGCTCATTGCCGTGGAAAACAAAGGGGGATGTGTGCTAATAAAATGACTTATTTTTCCATTTTCCCCATTTGACTTTATAGCTTCTTTTTTTAAGAATAGCCATTTAGTATTCTATTCAATTAAACTAAATGAATACATACTAATGATTAGTTAGGTAGGTAAATTGATAGACAGTTTTGTACTTTATAAAAGAATTTCATTGGTGTATGCCTGCAATCTTAGCTACTTAGGAGGTGGTAATTGGGAATTGGAAAGATTGCTATTCATGACCAGCCAGGGCAAAAAGTTAGTGAGACACCATCTTAATCAGCAATCTGAATGTGGTATTTCACAATTGTAACTCCAGCTATGCAGGAGGCATAGGTAAGATGACTGTGATCTGAAGCCACCCAGGCAAAAGTGGGACGCTATCTGAAAATACTGAAAGCAAAAAGGGCTAGAGTCATGCCTCAAGCAATAAAGCACTTGAGTAGCAAGTGAGGCCCTAGGTTTAAACCCTAGATAATGTAGATGTCAACTGCTAACTGAAAATTTAGATTGAATAATTGTTTGCATCAAAATCAACTTAATACTTTCAAAGTTGAGTACAACTGTTAATGGCACTGGTGCAGCCTGTGATCAGAAGACTTCCAAATTCTTTGTGTCCTTTGGGTAAGAATCCTTTGCAGGACACTTGGGTGTAAATGGAGTTTATTAAAAGTTAGGGAAGAGAAATGCAAAGGGAGCATGGTGGAGTCCAGGTGGAATCTGCAAGCAGAGAGCTTGCTACTCTTCTTCTCGTGCTTTTATAACTTATGCTCATTTATGGGAAAGGAGGAACCAGGTGATTTCCATCCAATAATCCATGAGTGTGGAGGGGCATGGGTAGTTCCCAGCCAGGTAAGGGTGGTCCCTGAACCAAGCATGGTTAATCTGGTGGGATGTAATATTTTTTATGAGTCCTGAACATTCCCTAATTTTAGCCTCCCTCACAACTACCACTTTAAAGTGATTCCGAAATTTAGCTTTTGCAACTATTCTCTTTTTGTAACTTAATATTGAATTCATTTTAAATCAGCAGGGGGAGAAGGTATGTACTATACACTGTGGCAAATTTCCCCAAGATGTGTGCTATAAATTCTATATTATGTTTAAGGAAAAGTTAAGCTTTGAGCAAAGAATATTTTTATTTTTTAAAATTTTACTCATATGTGCATACAATGTTTGGGTGATTTCTCGCCCCTTCCCCCCACCCCCTCCTGTATCCCCACAACCCTCTCCCTTACCCCCCTTACTCCTCACTACCAGGCAGAAACTATTTTGCCCTTATCTCTAATTTTGTTGAAGAGAGAGTATAAGCAATAATAGGAAGGACCAAGGGTTTTTGCTGGTTGAGATAAGGATAGCTATACAGGGAGTGGACTCGCATTAATTTCCTGTGCATGTGTGTTACCTTCTAAATTAATTCTTCTCGAACTAACCTTTTCTCTAGTTCCTGGTCCCCTTCTCCTATTGGCTTCTGTTGCTTTAAAGTATCTGTTTTAGTTTCTCTGCATTGAGGGCAACAAACGCTATCTAGATTTTTGGGTGTCTTACCTATCCTCACCCCTTCCTTGTGTGCTCTCGCTTTTATCATGTGATCAAAGTCCAATCCCTTTGTTGTGTTTGCCCTTGATCTAATGTCCCCATATGAGGGAGAACATACAATTTTTGGTCTTTTCAGCCAGCCTAACCTAACTCAGAATAATGTTCTCCAGTTTCATCCATTTACCAGCGAATGATAACATTTCATTCTTCTTCATGGCTGCATAAAATTCCATTGTGTATAGATACCACATTTTCTTAATCCATTCGTCGGTAGTGGGGCATCTTGGCTGCTTCCATAACTTGGGTACTGTGAATAGTGCTGCAATAAACATGGGTGTGCAGGTGCCTCTGGAGTAACCTGTGTCACAGTCTTTTGGGTATATCCCCAAGAGTGGTATTGCTGGATCATATGGTAGATCTGTGTTTAGATTTTTAAGACGCCTCCAATTTTTTTTTTCCAGAGTGGTTGTACTAGTTTGCCTTCCCACCAGCAGTGTAAGAGGGTTCCTTTTTCCCTGCATCCTCGCCAACACCTGTTGTTAGTGGTGTTGCTAATAATGGCTATTCTAACAGGGGTGAGGTGAAATCTTAGCGTGGTTTTAATTTGCATTTCCTTTATTGCTAGGGATGGTGAGCATTTTTTCATGTGTTTTTTGGCCATTTGAATTTCTTCTTTTGAGAAAGTTCTGTTTAGTTCACTTGCCCATTTCTTTATTGGTTCATTAATTTTGGGAGAATTTAGTTTTTTGAGTTATCAGTCCTTGGCCTGATGTGTAGCTGGCAAATATTTTCTCCCGCTCTGTGGGTGGTCTCTTCAGTTTAGAGACCATTTCTTTTGTTGAGCAGAAGCTTTTTAGTTTTATGAAATCCCATTTATCTATGCTATCTCTTAGTTGCTGAGCTGGTGGGATTCCATTGAGAAAGTTCTTGCCTATACCTACTGACTCCAGAGTATTTCCTACTCTTTCCTGGATCAACTTAAGAGTTTGGGGTCTGATATTAAGATCCTTGACCCATTTTGAGTTAATCTTGGTATAGGGTGATATACATGGATCTAGTTTCAGGTTTTTGCAGACTGCTAACCAGTTTTCCCAGCAGTTTTTGTTGAAAAGGCTGTCTTTTCTCCATCGTATATTTTTAGCGCCTTTGTCAAAGATAAGTTGGTTATAGCTGTGTGGTTTCATATCTGGGTCCTCTATTCTGTTCCACTGGTCTTCATGTCTGTTTGTGTGCCAGTACCATGCTGTTTTTATTGCTATTGCTTTGTAATATAGTTTGAAGTCGAGTATTGTGATACCTCCAGCGTTGTTCTTTTTACTGAGTATTGCCTTGGTTATTGTGTTTCCATATAAATTTAACAGTAGATTTTTCAATCTCTTTGTTGAATGTCATTGGGCTTTTGATGGGAATTGCATTAAACA